TTTTTTTTTTTTGTTTCAGATGCCAACGTGGACGTCATCTACATCTGCCCCCTTGCTCTGAGTGAGGAGTTGGTGCAATATTACAATAAACTCCTGGGTCTGCAGGCAGCTGTTAGATCTGGGAACCCTGAGGACATGGCTGACCTGCAGGACAGGTTCAAAATTCTCACCCCTGAAGCTATAAACAGCTTCCCTGTGAGTTTGTCTTCTAATTACTACAGCTTGAGGGATGCAGTAAAATTAAATTGGAAATTTTATAACTTGCAACGCTCTGGTTCACATCAGTGAAATATTATTGCAAGTTTAAGGGATTTACTGATTAGACTACTAGTTAGAGCATTGGAAATAAATATCCTGGTTTAGCTTTATAGACTTGCTTGAGATGGTCCTAGATTGGCTCTTTGTAGGCTCTTGTCCCTTCTGACTCTGTGCTTGGGACTGGCAACTTGATAGATTTATATCTCTAAGCAAATCATAGCAATAAACCATTCTTATTATTCAAAATTTTATCCCTGCCTAGCCCAGCATTCAATCATTCCTGTGTTTGAAGGATTCCAGTGCAGAGCTCCTGAAAGAACAAGGCTTAAACCAAAGTTAGGTCATAATACAGAAATACGAGTTTCACATCAGAATAATACATAAATATTAGCTCCAATCACATAAAAGTGATAGTTTTCCAGAATAATAATTAATAATAGAGGGAATATTAGTTCCAAACCTGTCAGGTCAGGTTTAAATCCACGTGTTAAAACATGTTCTAATTAATGTACAGTGTGTACAGTGTTTCTGAAAATTACAGTGCAGTGGAGACTTTTCACAGTGAATGATAGTTTTATATTCTAAATATTAAACCTACAGTGTCTTGCCTGAGATTTGATTTTGATCAAACTCTGTGGCACATTTAGGGGCTTTGCTTGAAGCCCTGCTGCTGCTTTTGCTGTTTTTGTCTTTTTAAATTGCACTTTGACAAGCAGAGCAGGTTTGTTTTTTTTTTTTTTTTCCTCTGGATGCTGGGTTATTTTTCCAACAGTAACTCCCAGGAGAATGGGAAATACCAGATTTTAGGTTTGAGGTAACCCATGGCTCTTTAGTGCCATGCATCTGTAAATAGGCAAAATCTACCTTGTTTTCATTAAACATGTGTTCTTTACGATTAATAATTCATCATTTTATTAATAAGATAATAATTTTATTAATAGATCCTTTGTGTGGAGAGGAATCTGCTCAGAACTGCTCGTGGCCTCAGTGACAATTGGAGCTGTGCAAGGCTTTGAGCTTTATAGGTTCTTTTAAAGGGTCTTTCTTGTGGTTTATTGAATAAAAAGCTTTTATTGCACCTAATGGATCAAAATTTATTCCCAATCAATGAAAGTGTGGCTCAAAGGCCACTTCAGAGGGCTCCTTTTAGCAATTCCAGAGGCACCAATCAGCCTTTGCACATTTTCCCAGCTACTCTGATTGAACCTGGAGGGGAGGGGAGAAGGTTTGGAAAAGGCAGAGCTGGCCCTGATCCTGCACTTGGGGTGTTCCCAGCTTTGCTCTCCTGCTGATCCCAGTGCCAAGGTCAGAGCTGGGATCTTGGGGAAACTCAAAACAAAACAAAAATCAACAGGTTTTGAGAGTTTTGGTTGATTCCATATGCCCAGTTCCTGCTGGAATCTCTCAGTTCTGCTTTTCTCTCACATTTCCATATATCCTGGCAGCTCTAGCACTCCCAAAAAGCAGAACTGAAGCAGCTTTTACAGCCTGACCTCTTTAATGAACTGTAAAATCCACTTTTTGAGGGACACAAAGCCCAGCTCCTCCCTACAACCCCTCTCAGGCTGGGAATTGTTCCTGTTCCATCCAGAACTGTGGAATGAGAGCAGGGCTCAGCTGAAGGGAATCCATGGATCACAATTTTAAATCTGATGCAAGGGCTCCAGGTATCTTGTTTGCTCTTCATCTTTCAACTTCTGTAATTTTCTTTTTTTTTATTTTCTGCTGGAACTTTGGAGTGTGTCCCATTCCTGCTGTCCTTGCAGGGTGACCAGCTCCTTTACAGAGAGATTTGGGGCCTTTTTTTTTTGGAGCTGTGTTTGGTGTGAGAAATGTCATAGAAAGGGGGGGGATTCCTTGTGTTCTTTTCCAGCCTCATCTTCCCTATCCAAGCAAGGAAATCAGGATTTCTGCTTCAGTCCCTGGCAATGAACATCCAGGATTTGGAAGGAAAAAATATTCTGTTTTCTTCAGTGCTGGAAATTCCTGGCAAATCCAGGGTTTCCATTATCCTGAAAATATAGGGATGCTTTCCTGAGGCCTAAATGAGATGAAATCTCAATAGGAAGATGATTTTCTTCTTCTTCTTGGGATTATGATTTGTTCATGATAATTTATTACAGTGGATTTCTCCATCCCTGTCTCATCCTCAGTAGATTTTTGGGGAAAATAATTGGAATATATGCAGGCCATGCATGGGATATGTCGTTTAAAACATTTTGGAGGTTTCACCTGCCATGAGTGATATTCTTAATTTAAATTCAGAGTTTACAGGATGTCATGAGCTGCTTATTCAGCAACGGGGAATTTCTTTTTGGGGGAAGAAATAAGAAATTCCTTCCAAAAAGTTGGAACCTTTGTATTTTAAGCAAAAAAAAAACAACAAAAAACGATTAAAAAACTGTTCCCCTCTCCTTCAGTGGTCCTTTAATCAGCCATCAGAGCTCCTGTGCAATGGAAAAGTGCATCCCCAGTAATTTAATGTAAGCACCACAAGCTTTTGTAAATCAAAGTGCTTTATTCCCAGAGAATCCCTTCAAATACCACTGAACTGTATGTGAAATACATTCCCTGCTATAGGGAGGAGGGGGGGAAATCTTCATTTTTTTTATTGATTTTTAGGAGCTCTGGAGTTAAACCATGCCAGGAGTGTTGCTGAGATGAATCACTATTATCCAAAGGCCACCAGCCTCTGTGCAGACTGACAGAAGGATAATTCCACATGGATCAAATAAATACAGATGTGCAGTAATTAGTTCTATTCCCAATGAGGCCATTTCCAACCCACTAAAGATGTGCACGATTATGGAGCCTCACCCCAACAGCTTTTATCAATTTAAACTGCTAAACTACAGGATTAGGTCATAACCCAACCTGCTATTAATAATGTATTTATTGTGGGCAACATTAGGAATTAGGGGGAAATAAAAAAAAAAAAAAAAATAAAAAAATTAAAAACCCACTTTTCATAAAAATAAATATTTTCTTTTTCCAGGAGCATCACATGTGCCTGGCCACACTGCTCAGGTACAGCCCCAGGACAATGCAGAGGCTGCAGGCTCTGCTGCAGGGCAGGGATGCCTACATGGTTGGGGGAGTTCCCCATTTGGATGATTTGGCTGTGGCTGATGAGCTCCAGGTGCCTTTTTTGGGCTCAGAGCCAGCAGTGGCTCAGCTCTACAGCACCAAGTCTGGCAGCAAGAGAATCTTTGCCAGTGCTGGGGTGCCAACCCCTCCTGGAGAGTGGGACATCCACAGCAGGGAGCAGGTGAGCTGAGTTTGTGTCATTCCAATAATTCCACTGATGAGACCTCAATTTTATATTGTAGATATAAAACCTACAGTGGCTTCACTGAGATTTGATTTTTATCAAACTTTGTGACACATTTAGGGACTTTGCTCAAAGCCCTGTTGTTCTTTTTCCCATTTTTTTCATTTTTCACTGAACTTTGACAGTCACAGCAAGGAGCAGGTGAGCTGAAGGGATGAGAGTTTCTGTCATTCCAATAATTCCATTGATAAGACCCTCAGTTTTATATTATAAATATTAAACCTGCATTTTATTGCCTGAGATTTGATTTTTATCAAACTTTGTGGCACATTTAGGGGCTTTGCTCAAAGCCCTGTTGTTCTTTTTCCCATTTTTTTCTTTTTTCACTGAACTTGGACAGTCACAGCAGGTTTTTTTTTGGATGTTGGGTTATTTTTCCAAGACTAACTCCCAAACCCTCGTTGATTTGATCAAGTTTTGGGTGAGGTTGGGTCCTTTTTTGGCTCAGTTAAATGCAGTTTGTGCCCAAGGCAGGAAGGATCACAATTACCCTGGGATTCTTCATGGGTTTGAGGATATTTAAGGGTTTGATCCAATATTTGAGACATCTTGTGCTGCTTCCCCATGAAATGAATCCATTTTAGCAGTGACTGAAGATGCACATTTTGCAAAAACCTTTGTTTTAATGGGCAGAAATGTGAATCTAAATCTCCAATCCTGCTCCAGCTGAGGTTCACTGAGCATCTTTGCAGTTTTACCTTGTCCCCAGCTCGGCCTGTGCTGAATTCATCTCTCTTGTTGGCATGACCTGGAGGAAAATAACAAAATCCTACTGAACTAAAATCACAATTGTGATCATTTTCATGTTCATTTTGCAGCCAGTTCCTCAGTATTTTATTCTTTAAGCTGATTTTGTAATTTACACTGAGCTAAGCATTTATTTTTTTAAAAAAAAAAAACATTTTTATGGTGGTGTTACTTCTCATTCAGGGAAATAATCATTGCTGAGGGTTTTTTTTTTTGTAGGTGCTTCTGCTTCTACAAGAGCCTTTTCACATTGCTTTGGTTTTTATTAATCACCTTTAGCACTGAACAATTTAAGCTACACAAATCCATTGCAACTTCTGCAGTAGATGAAATAAATATATGATCAATGACCTGCAAAACAGCTGTTTGATTTATTTGATTCATGTAAATTATTTAACAATACTCCCGGTTCATCCCACAGGGTTATGGAATTTCTCCTTCTGTTGTTTTGCTTGTATGAAATATTGACATTTTAGGTTAAATAATCAAAGTGAGGTGACACCATGGTAAAGCACAATTCAATTTTCACTTAAAGATAGCACATAATTCTTTGTGATTGGTACAGTCCTTACAGGATTATTGATCCTTTTCATTACTGTAGGGGGAGCCCTCAAGAAAAACACATTTATGTGCTTCTCAAAAGCCACAAATGGAACACATGTAATTGTATTTTAGGTCAATCTTTAAAAAAAAAAAAAAAAAAAAAAAGAAACAAGAATCCCTCAAATTACTCTGTAAAATGTAGAAGACTCCAGCCAAGGCAACAAGATCTGAGAATACTTTTTTTTTTTTTTTTTTTCTAGCAGGTTCAAAGTCATTTGCAGTTTCTTAGAAGCTAATTGCATCCTGCAGCAGCTGGGCAAAAGGCATTTGAAAGCTATTTAAATCTGTGTACATACACAAATAAATAATTAGCATTTTTTAGAAAGGCAGCCTGGTACCTCCTCCGTGCATTTATAACCATGGAATGTTCTCTCCTGTAGGAAAATTTCCCAGCTGTTTGGGGCTGTTTCTGTAAATGGTCCATGCCACGGTGTCACAAATGTTTATGGAGCAGTTCTGGTGATCCAAAACATCAGACAAAAACAAAACAAAACCCAAAAAAATAAAATAAAAAAACACCTGGGCAGGCAAATTCCTCTGCAGAAAATAAGGATGGAGGCTTCAAAGGTTGTTTTCAATCCATACCTAAATAGCACCAACAGCTCTGAGAAAATAAAATCATATTTAGAGAAAATAAAACCTCAGGAAAAAAACCCAAAAACAAAAACAACAACAACAACAAAAAAAAACCCAAAACCACCTGGGCAGGCAAATTCCTAAACAGGGATGAAGGCTATGGAATCTTCAAAGGTTTTTTTCAATCCATACCCAAAGATCACAAACACCTCTGAGAAAATGAAATATTCATATATATTTACAAATATATCTATAATTTAATATAATAACAATGCATATGTAATACATAATATAAAATTTTATATATAATATATAATAACAATATCTATTGTATGTATGTGTGTATATATATTATATGTGTATATATATATATGTATGTATGTGTGTGTATATATATATATAAAATATATATATAATTAGAAAAAATAAATGTCAAGCCCAAATATTTGGGAGCTCCGGAGTCTTTTGGTGCTGTCGCAGTGCAAAGGATTTTGTGTCCCTGTCCCGCAGCTGCTGCGAGCCCTGAGCCGCCTGGTCCTGGACAATTTGGGGGTGCAGCGCTGGCTCTTCAAGGTGGACGGTGAGAGGGGAGGAGATGGCACCGCCTTCTGTGACGTCATTTCCCACCTGGAATGCTTCCCCTGCATCCAGGGACACGTTCCCGGCGTGGGCAGGGCTCGGGTGAGTGACAAAGTGACAAAATCCCAGCTTTGTTGGCTTGGCTCGTGAATGTTCCCCTGAGGTTCCTCCTGCTTGTGAATCCCTTCTCCTGAGTCCTTCCTCAATTCTTTCCTTTCCCTAAATTCCTTCTTCTAAACCCTTCCTAAATTCTTTTCTTTTCCTCAGTTCCTTCTCCTGAATCCTTCCTCAATTCTTTCTTTCTCCTGAATCCTTCCTCAATTCTTTCCTCCTAAATCCTTCCTCAAGTCTTTCCTTTTCCTCAATCTCTTCTCCTAAATCCTTCCTAAATTCCTTTTCCTAAATTCCTTCTCCTAAATCCTTCCTCAATTCTTTCCTTCTCCTGAATCCTTCCTCAATTCTTTCCTTCTCCTAAATCCTTCCTCAATTCTTTTCTTTTCCTCAATTCCTTCTCCTGAATTCTTCCTAAATTCCTTTTCCTAAATTCCTTCTCCTAAATCCTTCCTCAATTCTTTCCTTTTCCTAAATCCTTCCTCAATTCTTTCCTTCTAAATCCTTCCTTAATTCTTTCCTTTTCCTCAATCTCTTCTCCTAAATCCTTCCTCAATTCTTTCCTTTTCCTCAATCTCTTCTCCTAAATCCTTCCTCAATTCTTTCCTTTTCCTAAATTCCTTCTCCTCAATTCTTTTCTTCTCCTCAATTCCTTCTCCTAAATCCTTCCTAAATTCCTTTTCCTCAATCTCTTCTCCTAAATCCTTCCTCAATTCTTTCCTTCTCCTCAATTCCTTTTCCTAAATTCTTCCTCAATTCTTTCCTTTTCCTAAATCTCTTTTCCTAAATCCTTCCTCAGTTCTTTCCTTCTCCTCGATTCCTTCTCCTAAATCCTTCCTAAATTCCTTCTCCTAAACCCTTCCTCAGTTCTTTCCTTTTCCTAAATCCTTCCTCAATTCTTTCCTTTTCCTCAATTCTTTTCTTCTCCTCAATTCCTTCCTAAATCTCCTCCCCCATCCTTCATTTGTTATCACAGCCCACAAAGCAATAGGCAGCAGTAATTCAAATAAAACAGGCAAATATTCCAAAATCATTCCAGCTGTGGAATGAGGTGTGTAGTGACACTTCCTGTGCAATAATGGGCAGCTTTTACACACTTTTTGTAGAAATTTTGTTCTTTTTGTTTTAGCTGAAGTGAGGACATACAAAGGAAAGTTTATAGGCAGCACAGCCTAATCTCTACATGGAAATTTGGATTTCTTGAAACAATGATTAATTGGGATTGGGATTAAAACATCTGAACAGCACTAATCTGAAATCATACCAACTGATTGCTTTTTCACTGGTTTTTCTATGGTTTATTTTTCCTGCACGTTTTGCCTCACTAATAACTTTTAAACCTGTGTGAGACGACACTCGAGGTGATCATTAAACTGCTGTAATTTTCATTACCGGGGGTCTTTAGCTAAGGAGAGCCACCTATAAAAATCGAACATTAGAGCATGAACTCAGGCACTCCTGGGTTCCTAAGAATGCCCAGGATTGAGAGGCTGGAAGATGATCCATTTGAACTGCAGAAAAATCCATCTGAAACCACATTTCATTATTTTGGCATTCCAAGAACTATTTGTAGTTTAAATATTCATTGGTATTTAAATGTGTTAATTTCAATAAGCATTTGATATTTCTGTATATCTTGCCAAATTCATTCCTAATGTAATGGTTTTAAAGCCAGAAGGAATGTATCCAGAAAAATGGTTTAATTTACATAAACTACTCGTTATAGCTCCTCTGATTTTTTTTTAATTCAATCAAAATGGGTTTGAAATTTGGGGCTGATTGAATTATATTGTATATTGAAATTTCAAATTGGGCTGATTACAGTTCTGCTGCATTTGACAGATACAAAATAATTCCCCATTATAAAGCACAGCTCCTGATCTAAAGCTGAAGGGATAATTCCTCAGTCAGGCAGGAAGAAGCAGAGCCCTGAAAATCCACCCCAGTGGGACACAAAAAGCTCAGGATGTGTCCAGGTGCTGCTCCCAGCACCTGAGGACAGAATCAGGAGTCACCAGCTCCAGTTCTTTGCTGGATATCAGTGACATCCTCTGTTTCTTTGCCTTTTAAATTCTTTTCCCAAGCGTTTCTGCATAAAGGACACGGTGAGCCCTGACTTCCTTTGGTTTTCCTTTTTACTCCATTTACCTCCAGCCTGGATTCATCCATAAAATAACCCTTAAATATAAACACAAGCTGGAAGTTGGGGAATTAGCATGGAATAATGAATTGGCTCTCATTTCTCAGAGCCAGCAGACAAATCCAGGCCAGTACTGAGCAGGTTTTGGCCAAGTGTTGTCCAGAGAAGCTCTGGGTTCTTTATCCCAAGGCCAGGCTGGCCACTGGGGCTTGGAGCACCCTGGGGTGCTGGAAAGTGTCCCTGCCATGGCAGGGGTGGGGGGAATGGGACGATCCTGAAAACCCTTCCCAATCCAAACCTTTCTGTCATTCCCAAAACGAGGACCTCGCTGCTTTTCTGAACACCTTGTGTGATCGTTTTGCTGAAATTGCCCTGCCTTCTGCATTTACCCTCTTTGGAAAAGAGGAATCTCAGCCTCCCCTTGGGCCTCAGCACTGAGAGCAGAGGATTAAAACGCTCCTTTGTCAGGGAAGCACCATTGTAATGATGCACATTTAAACATCAAAGCAGGAGTTTGTGCTTTAATGTCCCGCTGCAGAGTGGGGACCTGGCTCCTTTGATAATGAAGATGTCGCGTGTGTCACGGCACACACACACACAAACGGATGCTGGCAGGTTATTACGAAATTCAGCTTCTTGATGAAAGACTCTCCTGCAGGCTAGGAGCACACTGAAAAGCCTCTCCATTCTGGTGGAATTATTAGAAATGAGACTACATGACTGTAAGCACTAAATTATGGTAATACTTACAAATGGCATCATTTGCATAGCAGTTTAAGACACAGCCACCCAGATTTTCCTCAGTGGCGTGGAGCAGGCAACAGATTAAAAATAATGGACTTGGTGAGTCTGAACTGTGTAAAAATCTATTCCAGCTACAAATGAGGCTGATTTTAGATTCCTCAGTGCAAACACAACATTGGGGCAGACCCAAATGCACGACAGGATTATGGATGGATTTCACCTTGTTAACTTAATGCAGCCTCTGAGTTATCTGAACAATTAATTTGCAACTGCAGGAAGGGTTGGATTCATAAACTGCAAAATGTCTCCAAGTCCATCAGCCTCCTGTGCAGTGCTCAAGGAGAGAAATTTCATCCTGAGGCCCAGAATCCAATGGCTCGATATCCAGAGAGCTGCTGCACATTGTGGGGTTGTTTGTGGAGACATTTTCCAGTGTGGAAAAGATCATCAGGGTCTGGTCCTTTAATTGTGCACAAAAAAGTGAATAAATACTGAGCCTCCCTTTGCATCTTGTAGGGTGATTGATGATCGTAGGGACCAAATAAATTCATTTTTTACATCTGCAGGCACTAATTCAAGCTTCAGTCAGTCCGTGCAGAGCACAGAAAGTTTTGCTGCTGTAAGAATAAGTGAGTAACTTTTTGGAATATCTAGATAAAGATATCCATAATCCTTGTTAATAATGGTGTAGCTGGGCATCTCACTCCTGCTCAAAGTCAGCAGCTCAGATTCTGGAAAATCTCAACCAGACTTTTATGAACCCTTGCTGGGAGGCTCGAAATTCATGGGAAATTCTCATTATTGCTGCCACAATCCCTGGCTTAGAGGGACTTGTTGGAGGTTGGAAGAGCATCCAAGGAATGGATGTGGATATTCATATTTTCCTTAAGACTCAAACTCTCAAAACTCTTCCCTTTTAGGGCAAAGAGAACATCACCTTCCTGTCGGCATTGCCTTTTTTTGTTCTTTTAACAATTCCCTTTTATACAAACTGCAGGATCCCATCCTCTTGTATAGCTATGGAATTGTAGTAAATCACTAGATTAAATTACTACTGAAATTAATTTTAGAATTCTCTTTTATTACCGTGTGACTTAATTAACCACCAGGACCGACAACATGATGTGAGTTTATCTAGCAGCAAGTCTGGAAATAACAAAGATCAGGCTGGAGACCAAAAAAAAGGGATAAACAAGAGCTGAAAATCCAGGAATAGAACAAGACCCAGGAAAAAAAAGCAGCAAATACTCTCTGAATAAGCCCTTAAAACTGGTGATAGCTACACAACCATTTCAAAACTCTCTATTAAATATCTGTCACAGGGGAAAAAAAAAAAAAGGATTTAATGCACTTGTGCAGCCCTTGCTAGAAAAATGTTTGTGTTTTACTCCTCCAGTTGAGTCCGAGGATTTTGTGTCTGTTTCTTTTCCTTTCAGGCTATAATTCAGTTAATTTTTTACAATGAGGAAATCAGAATCTTTTCAAAAGGTGACAAATCTGGACGACTTTTGGTGTGAATTCCCTAAAACAAGGTTTGGATGCCACTCGCAGGATTTTGCATTGATGGCTGTTGGCAAAATAAGAATGTAAAATGCTGGATGTTCCTTTCAATGAACCTTTTTTTTTTTTTTTTCCCTTCCCTGAGACAAAGGGGCCACTGCCATTTTTTTTTTTTTTTTTTTTGGTCAGCTTTTCAAAGTCCTGTAGTAAGTAAGAGATGAATTTTGGGAATTAGGAATAGTGGGGAGCAGATTGTGTCCTGCTTGGAGGAATTCCATGCACTACGGCACACCCGGAGTTTCCACCTCTCGTTCCTTTACTGAGTTCAGCAATTCAGAGTAGGGTGTGCTTGCAAACAGATCAGGATTAAAACCAATCCATCAAAAATGTAATTTCAGAAACCTGCCACTGCCAGCACCCTCCTTTCTGACCTCCTTTGAACACAGCACAGCTTCCTAACACTGCTTTTTTCCCGATTTTTTTTTTTTTTATTAATTAATCCTGGTGTAACACCTCGAGCCCACGGAGGGGGTTTTTAAGGAGCCAGTCGTGCACGTGGAATTGCAGGTGTGGTATTTTTCCAACCTGAAGAGGGCCAGAAACTCTG